GTATCAGTTACCTTCCAGGCAGGGCTGACCTTAAGCAATAGAATTGTTGAATTAATGTTCTTGGTTTCCCGGGCACCCACTGGTCTAATGTTCCCTACTCCTCTCCTTGCCTATTTCCTAGTGCCTAATCACAAACCAGGCCTGTCCCACTATATTCCCCTGATCTTTTCCCCCATACTTTTCCTTATTAAAACTTAGCTGCCCTGAGACTCACTCCTTGGTGCTACCATGACGATTAAAAATACTGAGAGAGTTCAGAAGGAAATGGGTGGTAAAGTAGATGGCGTTGGACATGGGAGTTAGTAAGATCTGAGTTTGCAACTTGCCTTAGGGGCAGTTAGGTAACTCAGTGGATACAGCTCTGACCTTGGAGTCAAGAGGACCTGAGTTCAAATCCGGCCTCAGAGACTTGACACTAGCTGTGTGACCCTGAGCAAGCCACTTAACCCCAACTGCCTCACCAAAAAGAAAAATAAAAAAAAAGAAACTTGCCTTGGACAGTTACTAGTTGTGTGACCTGGGCTTTAGTTATCTAATCTGTAAAATGGGGATAATAATAGTTCTATCTCAAGGGTGATTGAGCAATTCAAATGAGATCACATATATAAAGCACCTGGCGAACTGAAAGCATTATATAAATGGGATCTATTATCAGAAGTAAGCAGCAAATTCCTTGTTATAAGGCAAAAGGGTCTTAACTCTCTTGCATTGTGTGAATTTGGATGAAAAAATATTTTGATAACTGTATTTCATTTTGAGTGGTTTCCTTTCTAATCTTAGCTACTTCATTTTGTGCATTTAAGATATCATCCTGAGAGCATCCACAGGCTTCACCAGATCACCTAAAGGGTCTACCATATACACACATAAATAATAATAATAATAATAATAATAATTCCTGTTGTTGTGCAGTTGTGTCTGACTCTTTGTGACCCCATTTGGGGTTTTCTTGTCAGAGATCCTGGAGTGGTTTGCCATTTCCTTCTCCAGCTCATTTTACAGATGAGAAAACTGAGGCAAACAGAATGAAGTGACTTGTCAGGGTCACATAGCTAGCATGTGTCGGAGGCCAGATTTGAACTCAGAAAGGTGAGTCTTCCTGTTTCCAAGCTTACTTAGCTGCCCAGAAGGAGGTTTTATTAATGTAAAAATATAAGACATTAATAAAATTGATTTTTAAAAAAAAGCAAACAGTGTCTAACAACAGAAGGAGAACCAGAGAGAAAAAATAGAATCTAAGACTGCTCTCTTGTTGGCAGTGGGGAGAACCAGCAGCCATCCACACTTCATTTTCTCCTGAGTGCTATGATTCAGTAGGTAGTGAGTTCTCTGTCACTTCACCAAGCTCTTCAACTGCAAGTTAGATGAACATGTGTCAGGTTAGAAGGGATTCATGTTCCCTGTCTGGACTGGACTAGATAACTTCAGGGATCCCATTCAAATCTCAGATCCTGGGATTTCCACATCCTCATTTTATAAATAAGAAAACTCAGTCCCAGATGGGTTGTTTGGGTCGTGGATTCAAGTTATACTCCCTCGCCTTCTGCTATAACTAACTACAGTGTTATGTTTCTTCAGTTACTTTCCCGTACTCTTTTTTAAGGCGTCTCTATTTCCTCTGGCTCTCTCTCCCTCACCTCTGATCCTCTCCTTTCATTTGTTACCCCTTTCCCTTTGGGGTTTTACTTATTCCTTCCTCTTTCTCTCCTGATTTTATCTGGTTTTATAATTCTTCCCTGCCACTTTTTTCCTCAAATAGATTCCCCCTCATCTCCCCTTCAACTAATCCTGTTTATTAGGTTTTTTTTATAATTTTTTTTTAATTTTTAGGCAATTGGGGTTAAGTGACTTGCCCAGGGTCACACAGCTAGTCATTAGTTTTTTTTTTATTTCATTTTTTGTACCCCATTCCAAAAAAGGGTCTCTCACTTTCTTCATTATCCATCTACTCTATACCCTCATTCTCTGATTCATGACCCCTCTGTTGACCTGGTCTCTCTCTTTTCTCCGTATTCCTCATACAATGAAAGCTTCCAAGGTGTATCTATCCATTCTAGGCTCTCCCCTCTAGATGGTTTCTGCCACTGTCTTACACAGCTGCTCTCAGGGTTCCCCTTTTTCCACTATGGCTCAATCCCAGTACAATGCCAGTTATTGCAGGACACTGCCCCATGGTAGGGCCCTTCTTTCACCACATCTCTGATAATGGAACCCACCACTGATCTATACCCTCCACTGGTTATCTATATTCCCCCATATTTGCCTCAAAGTCTCCTCCCTGGGTCCGTGATCTTCCAACTCCCTCGAGTACCAGTTGCCCCAAGAGGTCCCAATTCCTCCACTCCCAATGTAGGATGGGTATAGTTTTCAGGCAGCAAATCTTCCAGGCCACAACTGGTGTAAGGTCACCATCTTCCTTCACAGACCATCTCTGTTTACCCTCCTGTATTCAAAAGATTCCTGGAGTCTGACACAAGAAGTCAACTCATAATTGGTTTGCTTGAATAAGCTTGACTGTAGCATACATGGAAATAGAGATTAGCAGGCCTTAGGTAGTAGCCCTAAGCATCCAGTGTGATTGCCCTCCTCAGGCCTGAAACCCAAGGAGGTGCCAGCCAGGGCTGAGATACTGCTCTATACAGATGGGACTTCTTTAACAGCTGAGGATCCTGTCCTCTTAAGGGAACAGTACTCAAATAAAGTCTCTAGCAAAGGATTACGTGCAAGGGAATTCGTCCTAAGGTCAACTTGGCCTACCTAGGTGGCATTTATCTTTAAGACATAAGCCTGCCTGGATCGAAGCCCACCAAACTACTTCCTGGTCAACTCCATGCCAAGCCAACCATACATATCCTCCCTTCACTACCTCCCTTTTTTCTAATTTATCTCCAAGAAGAATAATCAAATCAACATTACCATTCCCAGAAAGGACAAGGTGTCCTATGACCAAAACCACCGTTCCTCTTCACTTCCTTGACCACCATTTCCCTACACATACCAGCTACCCCATTAGAATACAGACTCCTTGAAGGCAGGTTTTGGTTTTTCTTTTTTTTTATATTTATATTCCCACCATTTAGCACAATGCCTGTCACACAATAAGTACTAAATAAATACCTTTCCATTCATTCATTCAAGAGTGCCTTTCCCCATCCTGGGCCCAAGCACCAAGGATATCTCCAGGGTTGAGATGACAAGCGTGCCTCAGGAAACAGTAATGAAGAATTCTAGGACTGACCTACTCCATAACAGTGTTAAAGGGACTTTCCTAAGGTCATGTAGCTACGCAGTGCTAGAATGGAAATCCAGCTGTCCTGACTCCCAGACTAGGGGTATGTCAATACAGCAGTGGTTTGGTGGATAGAGCCCAAGACTTGGGAATCAGGAAGACCTGGGTTTGCAGTCTACCCCAGAATTACTAGCTACGTGTCCCTGGATCAGTCATCTCTTTGGCTCTCAGTTTCTTCATATGTAAAATAAGGGAGCTGGATTCATTATCCTTTAAGGTGTCTTCCAGCCCTAAATCTATAATCAATCCTACAATCCTAATCCATCTTTCTTTTGACTTCATTGCCTCTCAACGCTCTCAAGGGAGATGATACCTATTTTATATTCCTCACAAGGTGTTATGAAGATTAAACGAGAATACAGGCACCACCACATTGAAACAAAGTAAAAATATTATCTAAATGTATTAATTTACTATGGACCAGTTTTCTCATCTGTGAAATGAGGGGGTTGGACAAGATGGGCCCCCGAGGTCCCTTCAGCTCCAGAATTATGAGCCTGTGACCAAAGCATTTTTTATTATCTGAATCATGACTCCAGATGCTCATCTAAAAAGAGGTGGACTCAGGGTGAGGAGTGAGTCACACATTTTTAGAAAAGGCCATTTAAAAACAAATGCTTCATTTGGCTCAACTACTTTCATATAAGGGAAGGTCCTATTGAGGGGTGCCCTGGGAAGGTGAATCACCGGGATGTGGCCAAGATGTGAAAAAAAAAAATTGATTAGACATTTTTTAATTGACAGGTTCTCAGAATATGCATTTTGTCTCTTAGGAAATTAATTTTAAAATTTCAGCTTCTCTAAAGATAAGCTCATAAGGACAGGTGAATGTATATGGACTTAGAAAATGTGTTGTTTTTGCTTCATGACCCCAGGGACTATACTGTCCATGGAATTTTCTTGGCAAAGATACTAGAGTAGTTTGCCATTTCCTTCTCCAGTGGATTAAGGCAAACGAAGGTTAAGTGACTTGCCCAGGGTCACACAGCTAGGAAATGTTTGAGGCTGTATTTGAACTCAGGTCTTCCTGACCCCAGGCCCAACATTCTATTCACTGAGCCACCTAGCTGCCTTCTACGCAAAGAGTGGTTAAATGACTTACCCCCCAAGGCCATATAGCTAGTAAGTGTCTAAGGCTGGATTTAAATTCAGTCTTCCTGACTCCAGGCCCAGCGCTCTATCCACTGAGCCATCTAGCTATCCCAACTTAGAAAATACAAGGATTCAAATTATAGCCATCCTTAGTATGCGATGAGAGGCAGCATAGTATAGTAGATGAGAAGACCTCAAAGCCAGGAACACTTGGTTGGAGTCTTACCTTTGACACATACTGGCTGTGTGACCCCGGGCAAGTCATTTAAACTTTCTGTACTCTAGGCAACTTTCTAAAATGATCAGTTGAAGAGAAGGTACTGATCTTCACCGGTACTTACCCAAGAGTTCTCTATAAAGATATCCCAGGGTCCAGTCCCCATCACTCTAATTAGTCTGTGAGCTCCTCAAGAGCAGAGACTTAGGTTTTTTTAACTTCTTGGTACTCCCAGTGTTTAGCACAGTACCTGACACATAACAGGCACTTAATGCATATTGACTGACTGACTGACCTCATATCCAATTAGATCTTCTACTATCCTCTAGGGAGAGCTGTTTCCAACAGATCTATTTACTTCACACAGGCAGCCTTTGCATGGACACAAATGATGGACACGCATAGAGGAATATTCCCTTTATTTAAATGCTTCAGGCCATGAGGTATAAAAAAAAGAAACACAACTTCATGAGCATTGAAAATGATACAGATGTGTGGATAAGGCCAGCTTTGGGTTACATTCAGCAGAACTGCCCAGTCTGGAAGTAGTGACATGTGGCCTTGCCTGTTTTCCAAGCCAAGAGGCGCGATTTTGTCTAGCCCATATAACACACAGAAGTTCAGGCTCTGCCATAACTTTCCGCATTGGAGAGAGTTGCCACAAAATGGTGAAACCCACACAAAACTGAAATGTTTACAGTACATAAAGTAAAACATACAGTATATACTCTAGTTGGTTATCAAAACTAACTAGTAGACAATGAAAATGAATTAAGAGTTAAACCCCATTATAAAGTATCTCAGTACTTCACAATTAGCTTTAGTGTAGGTCCCATATAAATACAGTATATTGTTCATCTTTCTCATCATAATAAGAAAAACTTGACCTAGGAGTTCATCCCATACTTCAATGACATTTGGAGATCCTACCATGTTATTGCTCATTGTAATGGCTCCTGAAATGGCTACAGTTCCCATCTGGAGGGAGACAAAGGCAGTCATTTAAGATTTACAGGAATACCTGACCTGGATCTAATGAGTTCCCTTAGCTGAGTGATATCAAACAATTAATCATACAATCTCAGAGTAAGAAAAGACCTCAGAGGTCATTTCGTCCAACCCATCAATCAACAAAGTATTTATTGAGCATCTATTCTGTACTCACCATTTTCCTGATTCCCACCAAGATTAAAAAAAAAAACAAAAACTGATTGGGTTGCCCTTGGTGGGTGTCCTGAGAGCTCAGCTAACTGGCAGAAACCAGAAGTTCGGTCTTCTTTCCACAAGTCTGGGTGTCCAAGGATGCTAAATGGGGCTCATCCTTTTCATGATGGTCTCTTGATCAACCTTAGAGGCTGTTTTTTCACTAATGAAATTTCCTTTGGGTTGGAGGAGGTCAAGAAAATATAGAATTGGTAAAGGAATGTATAAGTGCATGTGCGTGTGTGTGTGTGTGTGTGTGTGTGTGTGTGTGTGTGTGTGATACTTCTGAGCCAGCTGGATTTGTGTAGATCTTTGTTTAGCCTTTTTCCTACGGCATTCTTCCTGGGCATCACACAAACAAGAGAGACCAATGACTACATAAATGTGTCCTTGGAAAAAACTTCTGCCTTTTCCTCCATTCTGTCCCTCATCTAAGAGCATGGACACATAATGCTAGTGTAAAATAAAAGTACTGATTGAATCTCTGGTCACACTGCAAATAATGAATTTTTTTTAAGCTTTAAATGCTTTTCCCATGTAAGTTTTTTCCTAGAGTTTTATGGTTACTAGAAATCCCATTCTTTTCTTCCCATATTCATTTCAAAAAGTGCTGGATATAAAATCCAAAGAAAAGTTTCACTTTGTTCCTTTTCTTCTTTCCCCCTCACACCTTAACTGAGCTATGTTGCTTATTTGTGAATTAGATTTTAAGTTTCTAATTTTGTCATACAGTCATTTTTGTCCTGGGTGAGGAGGATTCTTGGGATATTGAGACCTGCCTCATGGCAACCCCCCACTGTTAGCACAGCTAAAGGCTGAAATCTCCTGCTAAAATGCATAGGATTTCAGAACTATAGCTTTGGAAGAACACTTGAAGTTAATACCCATGGAACCAGGACCTCTCGCTGAAGCATTTTACTCTGTTATCTAAAAACATGAAGAGTCCCTTAGTGCAGAGCTGTCCAAACTCATAGCCTCAAAACCCCTGATGGACGCCAACAAACTAAAATGAAGTTGGGAAATGTTTCACAAAGTAAGTAAAAATAAAATACAAAACAGACAATGTTAATTTGTGGTCTTCTAAGTCAACATGCAAACTACAGGTATCCATTTCTATTTGAGTTAGAGACCACTGACCTATAAGTATGACATATTTGGAAATATTACAATGATTAACTGGATTTTATAAATGCCCTCACTATAAAATTGGGCAAACCATTCTTTAAAAACAAAATTTTAGCAAAAAGAATGGAACATTTGCCCTGTTATAAAGATTTAAAAGCCAACAGTCACCTAGGATTGGTACAAAAATAAAGCATTCTCACTTTTTGAAATATGGAATCTTTTCCACGCACCAACTTTATGTTAGTATATATACTTTTAAATGTCTTCTTAGAAAAATACAAAATATTTCTACAACTTCCTAAAGCCTGTTTGGAAACATACCTTGGGGACTAGTACAAATATGGGGGTTTTCGGAGAGGAATTCAAGTCAAACTTGCTGCAGAGTCCTAACGTCAGGTCAACGTTGAAACCCGATTTCTCTGCATCATTGACTGGTATCCAAGTCCACAAGATGCACTGACTCTTGTCAGTGCATCTTCTTCTTTCTTCAGAAGTCATTTATTTCTGTAGATATCTTTAGAGTGACATTCTACAATAAAAGAGAATGAAGGATGTCAGAGATCCTAGGGCTGGCCAACTGAAAAAAAGTCATACATCCTATTCCCAACTCCCTGGTCCACCCCCATCATCTATTGAACCCCACTCTCTTCAAAGCCTAGCTCAATGTGGTCTTATATAGCATCTATCTGGGTGGTAAGTAAATTTGATGTTCCTGCCCTCGAGGAGCTTGCTTGCAATTCAATAAGCACCTGTCTCACTATCCATCCATCCATCCATCCATCTATCTATCTATCTATCTATCTATCTATCTAGGTATCCAAGTATCTACCCATCCATCTATATATCCATCTTTCCTTCCATCTACCTTTCTATCATCCATCCTATCCATGTATCAATCCTTCTACCCTGTCATCCTTCTTTATATTCTTCTATTCATTCATCTATATATCTGTCTTCTATCCTATCTATTCATCCTTTTATTGATTCATCTATTTATCCATATATTTATTCTACTCAATTATCTATCTTTCCTTCTAGCTACCTATCCATTCATCCATATATTTACTCCCCTATTCAGTCATCTATCTTTCCATCCATTTATCTATCGATCCATCCATCCATCCATCTAGTATACCTGGAGTCCTGATATAATTGGTATAGGGAACTCCTGGTGAGGAAAATCCCTCTACCAATCATCACCCACTCTGTAACTCAAAGTTTTAGGGAATTGCTGGGGATGCTGAAAGTGCCTGGGGTCACAGAACCAGTACATATCTGAGGTGGTTGGGTAATCCAGGTCTTTTTGATTCCAAGGCCAGCTCTCTATACAATCCTCCACACTGACTCTCATAAGCATTCATTTACTTTTTTTTCCTTTTTTTTTTGCGAGGCAATGGGGTTAAGTGACTTGCTCAGGGTCACACAGCTAGTGTCATGTGTCTGAGTCCGGATTTGAACTCAGGTCCTCCTGACTCCAAGGCCAGAGCTCTATCTACTGTGCCACCTAGCTGCCCCTATGAGCATTCATTTAAGTGCCTACTATGTGCAAGCTAAGGGCTGGTTAGATAAAGACAAAACAAAAATTAGTTCCTGCCCTCAAGGAACTTATTAACTACTAGAGGAAACACAACATTTACAAAGAGAAATTGAAAACAATATAATTTGAATAGGGAAAGAACAAGTTGAAGAATCAGGAAAGGCTCTAGAGGCAGCATCATGCTTGAAATTCTGAAGGAGGCCAAGAATTCTAAGAGGTGATAGTGAATGCATGCATCCCAGGCACACAGAAGAGCCTCTGCAAAGACATGGAGAAGAGACGGAAAGTCAAGTTGGCGCAAGAGCGAGGTCGTTAGTCCAGCTATAGGTATAGGATCTGTACAGAAGAATAATGTGAATAATGGTAGGACCTCCGGGGTCAACTGGTCCAAGTCCTTCACCTTACAGGTGAAGGCTTCCTGTAGAAGGTAGGATTGAAGCTGGGACTACAATGTAGCCACAACTGGTTTGTCTGCAGCGTGGTGGTAGGGGAGGAGATAGGAAATAAGATTGGAAAGTTTGTGGAAGAAATGTGAACTTTAATTGGTAAGTAATAAGAAGCCACTGCAGATTTTTGAGCAGAGAAGTAGTATGTCCTGGCTGATTTTAACTAAAGACTACTCAGGCTGGATGATTTAGATAGGGGAGAGAGGCAAGGAAGACCTATCGCGAAGCTAATGGTAATTAGCACCTATTCTAGAGAGGTGGGCCTGGGAGGGATAGAAAGCTGTAATTGATGCTGCAAAGGGGAGATCAGTTAGTTGATGGGATACAGGGATACAGTGTGGCACAGTGGATAGAGCACCAGACCTGGAGTCAGGAAGATCTGAGTTCAAATATGAACTCAGACACTGTGTGACTCTGAGCAAGTCACTTAACCCTATTTGCCTCAGTTTCCTCATTTGTAAAAATGAGCCGGAGAAGGAAATGGCAAACCACTCCAGTATCTTTGCCAAGAAAACCCCAAACGGGGTCACAGAGAGTTGGACATAACTGAACAACAATGACAAAAAGATGACTACACCAGGAAAGTCATTAAAAGAGGCAGAAAATATCCCATATTTTAAAAATTCACAAAAATTCTACCAGTCAGCTTACAGCTTCTGACGTGTGACAAATACCCACCTGAAAATCTTGGATGAAAGTCAGGAAGTAGAAAATGAAGCCAAAAGCCACTGTCCACTCGCAGATCGCACTCACTACATGATACATGTAATCCTGGTAGGAATGAGATACAGACAAAACTATTCATTGCAGGGTGAGTCCTAAACCATCCCTGGAGGACCAGAGCTCACCAGGAAAGAATACTCATTATGAACACACACAAGACACTTGGGGAGATGGCCAAAGGCAACAAGGATCCAAGGGCTGTGGACTCAGAGAAGGGACCACGGAAGAAATCCAGGCCAACTCTGTCTTTCATAAATGAGAAAACAGGGTTTAGGTTTGGTCTAGAATCTGACTCTTTATCAGAAGTTGTTAATCCAGGATCTGTGAACTTTTAAGAAAATACATTTTTTGATGGTTGTATTTCAATATAATTGGTTTTCTCTGTAATCCTATTTTATGCATTTAAAAACATTATTCTGAGAAGGGGTTCATTGGCTTCACCAGATACTTCCCCAAGGGGTCCAGAACTACTGGTCGAGTGGTTCTACGATTCCTTCCCCTTCAGATTGCATGATTCTAGGCCGCTTCAATTATTTTTTCAAGATGTTTGTTTAATGGGGCAACGAGGTGGCGCAGTGGATAGAGCACTGGCCCTGAAGTCGGGAGGACCTGAGTTCAAATGCAGCCTCAGACCAAACACTTGACACTTACTAACTGTGTGAACCTGGGCAAGTCACTTAACTCCAGTTGCCTAAAAAAAAAAAAAGATGTTTGTTTGAACTTCCCCAAAGTCCTGGGATGAGGGGAGAGATGAAAAGGGGAGAAGAATCCTAACTCTAGAGCTGGAAGGAAACTCAGAATCCACTCAGTCCAATCTCTTCATTTTACCGATGAGGAAACTGAGGCCCCAATGAGGGACTTCACCCAATGAGGTGAAGTAACTTTCCTAAGGTTACTTTTAGCAGATTTTACAGGTAGCATTTGATTTGGCTTCTAAGTCAGTACTCTTTAGAGCACTGAAATACTCTCAAGTTTCCGAGAAGGGATCAACCAGTAGTGCTCTGACATGGGGAGGCAGTGTATGGTTTTATCTGCAACCCCTTCCATCAACCGCCTGGAGCTTTACGCAACAATTTCCAAACCGCCACGCTCCCTTTCACCAAACTTTTTGTTCTACCAGCAAATTTAAATTTTTTAATTGTTCCTCTGGTAGACAAAAAAACCTTTTGCATCTTTGACAATGTTCATAGGATCATAAATTTAGAGCTAAAAGAAATTTTAGAGATCACATAGTGCAACCTGCCCATTTTATTTTATTTTTAGGCAACTGGGGTTAAGTGACTTGCCCAGGGTCACACAGCTAGTAAGTGTCAAGTGTTTGGTCGGAGGCTGGATTTGAACTCAGGTCCTCCTGACTTCAGGATCAGTGCTCTATTTACTGCGCCAACTAGCTACCCCTAACCCCATTTTACAGATGAGAAAACTGAGTCTCAGAGAGATTAGGTGACTCACCGTATATCGCAAAGGCATGTCATACTATGATAAATCTAGAATTGCAAGGGACTTTGAAGGCCATCTAATCCAACCCTTTTGTTTTACAGATGAGGAAACTGAGGCTCAGAAAGGTGAAGGAACTTGTCATGCAGTAAGCAGAATGATTTGAACTGAGCTTGCTGCTGCTTTTCAACTTCAATGGAGCATTTGCTACCACTAGCTGGGGTACCTTGGACTGATGACATCACCTTCCTGGGCCCATTTCCTCATCTGTAAAATGAGGTCTCTTCCAGCCCTGGCTGTCTGACTCTATGACCCCATATGGCTGAAATCTCTCAAACAGCCAACAATTTTTAAAAAGTGGTTGAATTTAAACAATGAGCCACTAATCAGACCAGGGGTGGGAAACCTGTGGCCTTGAGGCCACATGTGGCCTTCTAGGTCCTCAAGTGCCGCCCTTTGAATCCAGACTTCACAGAACAAATCCCAGGATTTGTTCTGTAAAACTTGGACTTGGTCAAAAGGCCGCACCCAAGGACCTAGAAGGCCACATGTGGCCTCAAGGCCTCGGGTGCCCCATCCCTGAACTAGACCATTTGTTTCTTATCAACAGAGGTAATTGGTGTGAAGAAAAATACGTCTCCCTAAGCCTCCGGCTGCCCATTTATAGCTAATGAGATACCTATGGCAGCATAGAGACCTATCTCATTCGTGGTGAAAGGCTGCTCCCTAGCGTCCACTGTGATAAAAACAACTTGGAGTGGCAGGACTACATGTGCTGGAAGCGTTCATCAATGAAGGTGGAAGGAGCTGTATTCCTCAGAATTCAGGTTAGACCCTCCCACCCCAAAGCGAAGCTGTTTTCCTTTTGGTTCAGCCTTAATTTCTCAATTTAGAGGACAGAAAGAGTACTTCTCAAAGAAATGCTTCTTTGGCCATCTTCCTTTCTCCACCGTCTGTCCTCATCTGGAATGGTCTCCAGGGCTCTCACCACCCCGGTGGCCAACACTGCGGCAGTCTGATGGTGACCTTCCCGGAATGTGGCACCCGGAACTGAACGCAATATTCCCAAAGTGATCTAACCAGGGCAGAATATAGTGGGGCTCTCACTTCTTCATTCTGCCCATGAGAGCTTTCTTAAAACAGTGCAAGATTGCATTATCTGATAATTCCTCACTTTGGGGGAGCTAATTCGTCATCTGTTTTCCACACAGACCCTCTTCTCTTGGCAATTTCATCAGTCTACATGTATTCAGTTGTCACCTCTATGCAAATTACTCTTCTATCTTTATGCCTAACCTTAACAAGTCCTATTACCTAGATTCAGAAAACCTGGGTTCAAATCCTACCTGTGATGCTTATTACATGTATGACCTTGGACAAGTGACTTAGCCTCTCTGGGCCTCAGTTTCCTCACCAGTAACATGAAGGGTTTTGGACTAGATGGTCTCTGTGGCTTCTTTCCATTTTAGAACAATCCTCTGGGATACACTGTGTTCTCTAATAAATGTTTTTATTTATTATTATATATTATAATCCCTTACATATTATATAAAATATAAGAATATAAATATAATTGCATATTATTTTGCATATTGTTGCATACTAACTTATTATTATAAATTTATAGTGTTGATAATTATAAATTATATTCTATATTCATATAACATATACATATATTATACATATAGATATGTTATGTTTTATAATAATTATATATTTATTATCATGTTTCTCTAATAAATGACCCAACATCTTTGTAGATTTTACCCCAATCTCTCCCCCACCACCACCAAAAGGTAGGTCAGTCTCCCCTCAACTCAGGGTTTCACACCAAGGAAAGTCTTACCTTTTCATTTGGATTCCATTCCAGTTTTGTTATAGAAATTAGTGACGCACAGGCAATCACTGAGTAAAGAAATAGTAAAGGAAGCAACAGTCTAGTAGAAAATAACTCCTCAGACACCCAAGTTGGGTGGTCTTCTAATAAGAATGTGGATTTTTCAGGTTACATATACACAATAAGAAAAATAAGCGGTTAAGTCAGTCTCCAGACAATCCTGGGAGAGGTCAGGTTGGGAGAGGAGTATTTGGGTTCTATTGATTTGGTATAGCTGTAATAAACGTATGATGGTAGTTGGCAACAAAGAACAAAGGAATACATGCTCTCTCAGTAACTATCTTTTCTGATCATTCACAGAAAACTTTTAAAATGCTGAATGCTTTATTTGTCCGGCTCCTGAAACATGATGGGAAATCTGCTAGACTTGAAGTGAGAAGCTCAAGGTTTGAATCCTGAATCCATGGCATACTAGACAGTAATAATAATAATGATATCATCATCATCATCATCATCATCATCATCATCATCATCTTCTCACAGCTTCAATATCTTCCATTGGCAAGTAGATACTAAAGATGACTCTAGGGAGTCATCAGTGACTATTTCTTTTCTTAAATGTTTTATTTTTTTCCTTTTCTTTCTTAACATCACTGTCACTGGTATTATGTGGCCAGTACTATTAATTTCCACAGGCCCATGCAGCATGAGAGAGCCTTCCCACTCCCCAGTGGGACTTTCCCTTATGGAGGGTAGACACAAACCAATATGGCAGCCATGTCTGAAAACACATGCATGCCTCATGTGACACCACAAGTCCACTCCCTCCCAAATCAACAGAGTAGTAAAAAGATTGGGGCTTAATTAAGAAACAGTGATAATTCTAATAGAGGTTGCAGTGTTTTTGAAAAGTTGTGAATAACTGAAGTAAATCGTTTCGTGTCCAGTTTTTTTGTTGTTTTATTAAAAGGGTTCTCATAGTTATTTTTTAATCTTTGCTTTCCTTAGTATTTATTAATTTTCTGATTTTAAAATGTTTTTAAAATAAATGAACTGTTTTTCTTTGTTATAAGAGAAAGCTCAGTGGGGGAGGGAAAAGGAGAAGGATGGCACACACCACAAAAGACTTACGGTGCTTAACAAAAAAGGCATAAATCATGATCCTAATTGTGCAACTTTTAGAATGTTTCTCTGCTTCTCTATGTCTCAGCTTCCTGATTAGTGAAATGGGGATCAGAATACTTTTACTTTATAGACATGCTGGGAGGAGAAAGGAGAGAATTTGTGAGCATTTAATTCTTTGGAAACAAAGCCATTCTGGTTAGGTTTAGACAAAGTCACCATTTTTAACCAAAGGCATCGCTGGTGCAGAAAAAAAGAAATACTGTGCCAAGGATTCCAACGTGTTACTTAGTGACCTGGATCACCTTAGTTAAGTCATTTAATGTCAAGAGGCAGGGGTTTAGTGATTAAATTGCTGGATTTGGTCAAGATTTTTGCTGTTCAGTCGTTTGTCAGTTGTGTCTGACTCTTCGTGACCCCGTTTGGGGTTTTCCTGGCAAAGATACTGGAGTGCTTTGCTATCTCCTTCTCTAGCTCATTTTACAGAGGAGGAAACTTGCCCAGGATCACACAGCTAGTAAAGTGTCTGAGGGCACATTTGAACTCAGGTCTTCCTGACTCTAGTGCGCTATGGCGTCACCTAACTGCCCCCAGAAGTCAAGACTAGCTGGGTTCATATATCTTGCCTCTGACCCTGGTTGTGTGACCCTGGGCAATGTATTTCACCCATTTGAGCCTCATTTTCCTTATCTATAAAAGGTAGGGGTTGCATTAGATGGTCCCTTTCATTTCAAAATCTATGATTCTTTGATGCATCTGGATCTCAGTTTTTTCTTTAAAATAAGGGAGTTGGTCTAGACCAGTGCTTCTTAAACTATGGGTCATGAAAAATTTGGCAACAGTAAAAGGTCTCTGAATGCGCAGTGACCAAAAATTAATTCAAAATCAAACACATAACGAATCCAAGGTGTTTCTGGCAGTGCTTGCCCGTGGTGCTGCATCACAGACGGCTTCGCTACAGCCTTGGTTCTGAACACACAAGATGCACACTTTGCACTGCGCATGCCATCACGCCACGCAACACCAACGAACGCTGCCAGAAACACCTCGGCTCAGATTTGACATCATTGTATGTTATGAGTTGCAGAGTTTTTACTGTAGGCACAAAATCATTAAATGAATTTTGGCTTGGGATTAGGACAGAATTTCCAACAATTTCTGAAATGGTCCTAAACATACTTCTGCCATTTTGTACTACATATTTATGCAAAGCAGCGTCCTCAGCACTGATGATTATAAAATCAAAATATCAATCAACTCTGAAGAACATTGAAGATGCTCTACATCCTACAGTATCAAACATCCTGCCGAGACTTAATTCTTTATGTAAAAATAAACAAACTTATCCATCTTATTAGGATGCAACTTTGCCTTCTTCTTTAATAAATGGTAAAATTATATGCTTGCCAAAGAATTGCTTTAAAATAAATTTCTTTATGATTTATTATCAGTAAATGTTTGATTTGTATACCTATTTTATATATCTATATATGTGGGGTCATGTAAAAATTTCTTGAGCAAAAAAGGGTCGCCAGTGGAAAAAGTTTAAGAAGCCCTGCACTAGATGGCCTCTGAGACCCCTTTTAATTCTAAATCTAAGATCCTATGTGACTGACGGGCAGCTAGGTGGCACCACAGCGCATAGAGCCCTAGGCCTGGAATCAGAAAGACTCATCTTCCTGAGTTCAAATCCAGCCTCACACACTTACTAGCTGTGTGACCCATGGCAAATCACTTAACCCTGCTTGCCTCAGTTTCCTCATCTGTAAAACGAGCTGGAGAAGGAAATGGCAAACCACTGCAGTACCTTTGCCCAGAAAACCCCAAATGGGATCACAAAGAGTCAGACAAAACTGAAAAACCGCTGACACGGCTGAATGCACTCAAACAGCCAATGGTTTTCAAAATAAGCGGTTGAATTTAAAAGAACCAGTTAGGAACTAGACGAGTTGTTTCAGATCATCCTATTATTTATCAAAATCTCTAATCTAAGAATTATTGTGCTTTTAAAAGCGTCATTTTTTTTCTTACGACAGGATACTCTAAAAGTCACCTCCATACTAGCAGCGACCTTCATAGAAGAACCTCTGACAGTTCTCCCCAGACTTCCACGTGACCATAAATCGCCTCTGACGTCAACAGCCAGATCAGCCACAGTCGGATGCACTGAAACTTGTGACGTCATTGTGGTCCTCTTCAAGAACAAAGACAACAACCAGGCCATATGCAGTATGTTAACTATAGGACCCTGCAAGTCTGAGTTATGGATAAGCATCAGCACATTCATATTCTCACCCACTTGGTTTGATAAATAATAACATAATTATTATTATTATTATTATTTTCAGTTGTATCCAACTCTCTATGACCCCATTTGGGGTTTTCTTGGCAGAGATACTAGAGTGGTTTGCCATTTCCTTCTCTAGCTCATTTTACAGATGAGGAAACTGAGGCAAACAGGATGACGTGACTTGCCCAAGGTCACACAACTAGTCTCTGAGGCTGGGTTTGAACTCGGGTGTTCCTGTCTCCAGGGCCAGAGCTCTCACCACTGAGCCACCCAGCTACCTCACTACAGGTGAAGAAACTGAGAGGCCTAGGATGGTTACAAAACTTTCCCAACGTCAACAAGTAAGCAGAAGAACCAAGTTTCAAACTCAGGCCATTACAGCTAGAAGGGAGCTTAGAAAGCGTCTAATCCACCCCTTGATTTTCCAAAAGAACAAAGCACGGCCCACAAAAGTCAAGTGACTTGTCTGAGGTCACACAGGTAGTAAATAAGTAGCACAGTCAGGATTTGAACCCAAGTCCTGTGAATCGAAATCCAACACACTTTCTCATAGTCCCACTGTGCTTCCAGGAAAATGGGTGGAATCTGTAGAGTCAGATTTAGGTTTGACATAATGAAAGTACTTTCTAACAATTACAGCTATCCTGCAGGAAGGCAATGGGTTCCTCTTTACTTGAGGTCTTCAAGCAGAGGCTAGATGCTGGCTTTCTGAGGATCTCAAAGCAGGGATTCTCAGTGAGCTACAAGTTAGACTACAAGCCTTCCAAGGTCCTTTTCAACTCTGAGTGCCTGTGACCCATGATCTCTAAGTTTTATATCCAATACTAGCCAAAAATATTAAAAAGGAACATTTTGGGAGGAAAGTGGCATTAGCTTATTATTCCATGAACTGAAAGTACCAAGTAACTGAGACAGTAAGAGCTACACTCTTAAACTAGCCCGTCTTCTCTCAAGGAAGGTTAAGTGGAGTCAGGCTCTCATCAGTCTTTCTTCCGCCCATGAAAAAAAGGAACCAAACCTTCTCTTATTTACTTGGAGTCTTCCCCACACCTTTTGCAGAGAGACTCCGTCCCCGGACGCCCAAGCACATGACCCATCATCTCCCTTGAAGATTACTCATTTGAAAACTGCAAACCACCACTTCAAGTAATTAACCAGCTTCTACCAATCCAGCTGCCATTTTCCTCCAAGCTCTCCCCCAACTTCCTCCTTTTGGTTAAGATTCGGCAGTTTTCTAGGCTACAGCTGCAAGAGATGTTTTGAAACATGGGAATTTTTTTGGTTCCTCACCTCTCAGGCCTTAGAAAGTTTTGCACAGACAGATGCAAAAGATTTCAGAAAATTCCCCTTCGCTACTTTCATTTCCCCTGTGGAGGACTGGCGGGCATGAGGGGCAAATTTCTTTGCTATTTTTACATATTACCTGTGAATAATCATCATTAGACATACCAGCTGGAACATGCCCGACTTGTCTTATCTCAGAAACCAAACCCGATCAGGCTATGTTAAGACTTGGATGGAAGACCATCTGGGATCAGAAGGTATACTTTTCTGAAAAGCAGCATAGTATACTGGGGAGAGTGCTGGACTTGGAACAAGGAACACCTGGCTTCGGATCCCACCACTGACATCATTTACTGTGCGGGATATGAGATAGCTTCACATCGGAGTAGCCCAGGCTTCAGAAAAAGGCAAAAGATTGGGGAAAAAGTGTAAATCCTTATTGTGAAAATATCTCCATAGAATTCGATTGGATGAAAATAATCTTTGGGGAAGAGAACTGGCTGAGAGATAGGGGTTTGGGGGTGGTGAAAGGCAGAGAAATCTAGAACCCTTAGTCTCTCCTTCATCTCTCTGGGCCTCAGTTTCCTTTTCTGTAAAATGAGAGAAGATGGCCTTGGAAGTCCTTTCTAGTTCTAAAACCATGATCCTATGACTTGCAGTTATACATACAAATGTATTTTTAATTTTTAAAGGTTTTCTATCTGGGCCTGTGATCCCATCGCCATAGGGCACTCCCAGTACAGAAATTTCCTCTATCAATGAAGATCGGCCAACTGTCCTGCAACTTTTAGCCTTAAAGATTTGCTTGGGTCACTGAAAGGTTAAAGCAACTTTCTCAGGATCACACAGCCAGTCTGTGTCAGAGGGAGGATTTGAACCCAGACCTCCCTTACTCCCATGCTTGCTTTCTATGTCTTATACCATTGCTGCCTCTCTGTATACAGAGTTAAGATTGTCAAGTATTTAAACATGAAGGAAAAATCAAAGGACTGTAGATTTAGAAGGGATCTTAGAAGTCATCTAGTCAGAGGACCTGAGTTCAAATCCACCTCTGATGCTGACTATACCTGAGAGACTTTGAACCCTTAAATGATCTGTTTCCTCATCTATAAAATAAAGAGGCTGGAGGTGTCTGAGCTTCCTTACAGCTCTTGCTTAGACCCCTCATTTTGCAGCAGAGAAAACAGAGGCCCAGACTTGCCCAAGGTTTCTGTAATGGAGCAAGGATTTGAAGGTAGGGCCCCCAGCCTCTAAATCTGATACTTTTTACCCCAAACCATGCTGCCCCCAAGATTTTAGGTCACCTTCATTTACTTATGTATAACTATGTATATAGTTTACCTTTACTTATGTATAACTTTACAAAAAAACCTGATGAAAGAGCTACGGGTTGAGGGTTTAATTGAGCTAATGCCTTAAGTACAATATCAATATTTGGCGGCCCTCACCAGGGAGAGTCACCAAATATTGATATTGTGCTACAAAGAAAAATGACATGACTCAGAAAACGGACCCTTCATGAAGGAAAGTAGAAACTGAAGGGCTCTGGGTTTCCCTGCCTTCCTCCTTTCACCACCCCCAAACCCTCCACCCCTCAGCCAATTCTCTTCCCCAAAGATCATTTTTTTTTTTCGGTTTTTGCTAGGCAATGGGGTTGTGACTTGCCCGGGGGGGGGGGGGGGGTCCCACAGCTGCTAAGTGTCAAGTGTCTGAGGCTGAATTTGAACTCAGGTCCTCCTGACTCCAGGTCCAGTGCTCTCTACACTGCACCACCTAGCTGCCCCTCAAAGATTATTTTCATCTAACTGAATTCTATGGAGATATTCTCACAATAAGGATTCACACTTTTATCCCAACCCTTTGCCTTTTCCTGAAGCCTGGGCTACTCGGAAGTGAAGCACTGATTTTCAGGATCACAGATCCAGAGCTGAAAGGGGCCAAAGAGGATGTCTAGTGATACCCTCCCATTTTATAGATGAGCAAACCGAGGCCCACGGTGGTAAAGTGACTTGTCCAAGGTCACACAGATAGCAAGGGTCAAGGGTAGATCACGGATTAGGAGCCAGAAGGGACCCTCAGAGGTCACCTAGACCAAGCCTCTTATTTTACAGGTGGGAACACTGAGGGCAGGGAAGGGAAGTGATTTTGCCCACGAGCACACTGGCAGCAAACATCAGAGCTGGGATGAGGACCCGGGTCTTCTGATCCCAGAACCAGGGCTTTCTCTACATTCCAACACCTCCAACCCACATTTTTCTCTCCTTTATAAACTCAGAAAGGGTTTACAGTGACCTGGTGATCCTGTTTTGATTCTGCCTCAAGGCAGAGAGCTCTCTTGGAGACCGCCGCAAGCCAAAAGGATACTGGGAATGACAGCAGCACAGGACACGGCGGAGATAGCCATCCTTATGTGGCAGGTCGAAGGCCTGTTCCACTGCGGACACGACTTGTAAGAGATGACGGACTGAAGGAGGGTGTACATGACGCCACAGACAAAAGCCAACAGAGCACCTCCATCATGGACCACGGGAACAGTCAATTCCTGGTGAGAGAAAAAAAATCGGCACGGAGGTCACAGCCAAGGAGACAACGAGTGACCACCTGCTGTGAGCAGACCGAGCTTTACATTCCAAGAGAACGGGAACTGATGAAAGGCACGGACAAAACAATGACTCTCTACTAAGAGTAACTTCCACAGGGCTCTCAGATTTTCAATGTGCTTTCCACCCAATATGGTATATCATGGGCTCGTAGGCTGAGAGAAGAAATCTTAAAAGTGCATATGGTCTAATACCCATCCATTTTTCAAACGAGGAAACTGAGGCCCAGAGAGGTGAATTGCCTTGCCCATCATAGATTCAGAACTGGAAGGAGCCTTAAAGACCTAGCAGACCTACACTCTTTCCATTTTACAGTCAAGGAAACTGAGGACCAGAGAAAACAAGTGACTTATCTATGTGTATGCAGATACATGTACGTCGATATGCATATGTGTGTACACACGTGTATAAACGCATCTGTGTACTGCATGGATGTGTGTATATAGGACATGGCCAATTCATGAACTTCATTTTGCTTGACTAAACATATTATTCACGAGGGTTTTGTTTTTCTTTCTTTTTCAAAGGAGTGGGAAGAGGAATGAAGACGGTGGGTTTTCATTCATTGAAAAAAGATTAAATAAAAAAATAACTATTTGTTATAAAAGATGTTTCCCTGAAAGGGGGAGTGGGACATAAGGAGAAACCTACACGATGTAAAAACAAGATAAATCAATAAAATCTGCTTTAATGTGAAAATACAATGATTGCCCAGACATATACCTGAAAGAAATCAAAGCTAGAAGGGATGTTTTTCCACTATAAGAAATGATGAATGTGGACTTCAGAAAAACATGGACAGAAGTGTATGAACTAAGGTTTTTTTAAAAAAAAAAGCAGAAACAGAGAACTTGGGTTCAAATGCTGCCTCTGAAACTACCTGTGTGACCTTAGGCAAGTCACTTGATCTCCGTGAGCCTCAGTTTCCTCATCTGTAACATGAGGGGGCTGGACTAGAAACCTCTGAGGTGCCTTCCAGCTCTAACTCTAAGTCTATGAAATGCCTGTTGAATCAAATCAAATCCAACCACTCATTTTCTAAATAAGGAAACTGAGGCCTACAGAGGTGCATGATTTGTCCAGGGTCACAAGGGTAGAAAACGTCAAAGGTAGGATTTGAATTCATGAAGATTTGCCCGTAGCCACAAAACCACAGATTTAGAGCAGAAAGGTTTTTAGTCCAATCTGGTCTAATCCCTTTATTTTACAGATTTAGGAAACTGAGGTCCAGAGAAATTAAGTAATTTTTCGAGGGTCACACCGGTAATAAGTGGCAAGGCTGTAATTTAACACCCCCCAAAAAGTTTTTTGAGGCCTCATTAGTGATTCTTTAAAGTAACTTCAATCAGATGTTGATAAATCAATGGCACCCGTACCCGTAGGAGCACCAACACAAACTATCTTCATCTCTAGGACCCTCCTCTCTAATTGGATCCCCAGAGCCTAGGAAGGTGCTAGGAGGCAGTTAACTCTGCCTCTGGCCAGGCACTGCTGTGAGATCTGGAGCGCAGAGGCTGACATCTCAGGGCTGGTCACAACAACAGTCCCCAGCTCTTTGCTTTCCTGGGGATGGAAATCTGGGAGGTGTGAATGCCCTGGCTTCGCTGCCTCACTCTCTAAGCCCCACAGAAGTGAGTCCAGAGCACTCCTGAGCCAGGTTGGACCTCTGCACCTCTCTGTGGAGCTGCAGTGTTGGCTCTGGGATTATTTTTCCGAAGTGGGCAGGCCTGAGACGGATTTAAGACACTTGACAAGAGTTTGGAAATATGGTAGCCTGTGGGTTTCCTTTCCACAAATGCACGGCCCCTTTCTTCCTCATTTCAGACCGTGGGAGAGACCCTAATGTTCACTTTGGGGTGGCAAGTCCTGAATGGTTATCTGGGGTCACCCTCAGAAATGATATCCAGTAAATCAAGGCTGAGGGAATTAAAGCAAGTCAAAGAAAACCACAGATTGCACTTGGAAAACCTTAAGGCACCACATAAAGGATGGCCAATGAGGAGGAGAAAGAGGAGGATGAATGACAATCATATTCCAATTTCTAGAGAAGCAAATGAATAAGGAACATGAGAATTCAAAGCAACCAATCAATCCTCGTGCATTTTGTTTTGATTGTGACCTGGGGTTTCATTGAAACAGAGGACTTGGGGCAGCTAGGTGGTACAGTAGATAGAGGACCAGCCCTGGAGTCATAAGGACCTGAGTTCAAATCCACCCTCAGACACTTACTAGCTGTATGACTCTAGGTGAGTCACTTAACCACAATTGCCTCCAAAAAAAGAAACAGAGGACTCCCAGATGAGGAAAGTCCCTCTACCATGCAAGTTGGGTCTACCATGCAGTCTTAGAGAGATGCCTGGGACACTGAGGGGTTAAGTGACTTACCGTGGGTCACACAGCCAGCATGAGTCAGATGGGGAACTTGAACTCTGATCTTCCTTACTCTGAAGGCAGCCCTTGCTGCCTCTCGTCCTCTTATATCTTCTTATCTATCTCTTTAAATATTTCATATTAAAACAACACATGGTACCAAATACAAGCACAGTAATAAGGCTGCGTGTTTAATGCCAATTTAATTTCATTTGATCTAACAAATATTTACTAAGTGCTTAGTGCTATGCACGATGAGAAGCAAGAATAAAAGAAGGGAGCCTTTCCCCCAAGGTATATACCTATTTTGTTATACAAAAAGCAAAAGGTTATGATAATAGTAGCTAGCATTTCATAGAGCTTTAAAGTGTGTAAAGCACTTACAAATATGATTTCATTTTATCCTCACAACAGCCCTAGGAGGTAGGTGCTATTATCATCCCCACTTTACAGATGGAGAAACTGAGGCAAGCAAAGGTTAAGTTACTTGACCAGGTTCACACGGCTGGTAAATGTCTGAATCCAGATTTGAACTCGGGACTTCCGGCCTCCAGGTCCAGCACTCTATCCTTGGTCTCACCTGCCTGCGACACATTTAGTGTAACCACTAAATGGCTGACCCTCAAACAGGAAGACCCACCTGTGACACATACTGGCATCTCCTCTCAGTGCCCCAGGAAACTTTCTAAAACTGAGCAGTTGCTGACCTGCACTGGTAAAGAGAGTTCCCTGACATGGGAGGACCCTATCCCAGGAAGTGACAGGTATGGACCAATGATGACAGCAGGGATGATAATAATGCTAGTATTTATGCATTGCTTCAGAATTTATAAAGCACTTTCCACGTAATCTCATTAGATCAAAAGCTTACATTTTATCCAGTTAACATGCATCATTTAGATCTTTGAAATTAAGAATTAAAACATTAATCCTAGTATCCAAAAAGAAAAACTCATTGTCTGCCCCTTTGTTGTAAGAATCAGATGCTATAAGAAGCACTTTGCAAACCTCAAAGTGCTATATAAATAATAATTATTATCAGCAGTTCTAAGATTACTAATAAGAATCTACTTAACACATTACTTTCCCCACCAAGAGTAAATAGGAAAATTCCTTTTCAGACTTGTACAGATTACCACTAGGAAATTTAAGATACCCTAAACCAGGGGTGGGGGGTGGGGAACCTGCGACCTCGAGGGCACATGTGGCCCTCTAGGCCCTCAAGTGCAGTTCTTAGACTGAATCCAAACTTCACAGAACAAATTCCCTTAATAAAAAGATTTGTTCTGTAAAACTTCGTCAAAAGGCTGCACCCAAGGACCTAGAGACCCCACAGGTTCCCCACCCTTGGCCTAAACCCTAAACTACCTGTATGTGCAGGTAGGTGGCGTCATAGGGCATGGAGTGCTAGCCTGGAATCAGGAAGACTCATCTCCCCGAGTTCAAATATGGCCTCAGACACTTCCTGGCAGTGTGATCCTAGGCAACTCACTTAACCCTGCTTGCCTCAGTTTCCTCATTTGTAAAATGAGCTGAAAAGGGAAATGGCAAACCACTCCAGTATCTTTGCCAAGAAAACCCTAAATGGGGTCCCAAAGAGTGAGATAGGACTGAAACAACTCAACAACAAACTGCCTCTATTTACACGATCATTTCTAACTGTTCTCACTCCATTTTGGGGTTTTTTTTTTTTTTAGGCAATTAGGGTTAAGTGACTTGCCCAGGGTCACACAGCTGGTAAGTGTTATGTGTTCGAGGCTGGATTTGAACTCAGGTCCTCCTGAATTCAGGGCCAGTGCTCTATCCACTGCACCACCTAGCTGCCCCTCCATTTTTTGTTCTGGTAGTTAAGTGAGAAGGTAATTTTTGGGTATCAGTGAAATCAGCATGTCATCTCTCTTTTTTTTTTTGGCTAGGCAATGGGGGTAAGTGACTTGCCCAGGGTCACACAACTAATGAGTGTTATGTGTCTGAGGCCGGATTTGAACTCAAGTCCTCCTGAATCCAGGGTCAGTGCTCTATCCACTGTACCTCCTAGCTGCCCCCATGTCATCTTTTCTGCAGTGACCTTCATGAAACCAATTTAGCAAAATTATGCATTTATCTAATCTACAGGTTAAAAATGCCATGGAATGATCCATGCCTCATATCAAGAACCACATGTTACCTTCAGATAAGTCAACAGGCATTTATTAAGTGCTTATTGTATGCCAGGAACTATTCTAAGTCACACATTGTTACCTTGACTCTTATATTTACAAGTTTTCTTGACAACACTTGACATAGGTTAGATTTTGTGGGTTAGCTGCCTGGATGGTGTTTATAGGTGGTGTGCCCACCCAATTAATAGATTCAGGCCCGACTTAGTCCCAGCAACTGTCACTAACTGACCACGAAAACTTGGAAAATCCCGATGCCCAAGTTTTCTTATTTGGAAAATGAGGTACAGTTGCTGCAATAACATAAAAGAGCAGAACAAAGATAGATGTTAAACGGCTGCAATGAGCGATCTTGGCCTCCAACACTAACTGAGCTAGTTAGGAAGGCCTGGGTTCAAGACCCACATCTAACACATACTGGCTTAGTGACCTTGGGCAAGTCACTGAAAATGTCACTACCCCAGGCAACAGATGAGGAACCATCCCTTCTCCTCCCTCCCGACCCTACCTTTTTGCTAAAGAGCTCAGGGAACACAGGTGGAGAAACGATACTTGCAAAGAAAGACATGATCATTGTGTTGACTGGTTTTGCTTAGTTGTGTTTTTCTTTGTTAAAAGAGAAGATGTCATATGTGTGTATGTGTGTGTGCATTTGTGCGTGTGTGAATGTGTGTGTGTGTGTGTGTATGTAGATGTGTGCCAGGGACTGTGGTGGGATCTAGGGGGCAAGGGGATGCAATGCTAACCTCCAGAAATAAATGATGTAAAAACAAAAAACATCAATAAAGATTATATACAGCCCACCAATCCAAGGACTAATGACACCAGGTTAACAATCAGGCTATTGAAACAAGAAATTTGATTTTGTTTCTCCACAATTTTATATCTTGTATCCATAGTGGCTGCACCTGAAAAGGCAATGGAGTTAAGTGACTTGCCCAGGGTCACACAGCTAGTAAGTGTCTGAGGTCAAATTTGAATTCAGGTCCTCCCAACTCCAGGGCTGGTGCTCTATCCACTTTGCCACCTAGCTGCCCCTAACGAAGATTATTTTTAAAAATAAATTCATTAAAGGAGTGTTTCAAGTGAATTGATCTTTAAGGTCACATCTAACCGCACTTCAGGAAAAACCTAACATCAGAAACACAAGAGATGTAACTTATTATCAAAAAGCAAAACTTTGCTATTTCCAGAAACTCCTGCAGCAAATATGTTCAGAGTGGAAAAGAGCGCTGCCCTTGAAGACAGAGGGCTTGGGTTCAGATTCTACCTCTGATGCTTACTACTGGAGCAAGTCACTTAATCAACCTGAGCCTCTGTTTCCTCAACTGTAAAAACGAGAGGGTTGAACTAGATGACCAGGCAGGTCCCCTCCAGCTCCAGTTACTATGGCCTTCTGTTCATTTCTCTGGAAAAGGTAACTATAATTGGCATCACCAAACTTCCCTCACTGTTATCTTTCCAGGCCTCTGTTTTATTTTCAACCAAGCCTTCTTTTGTCCACCTGTCTCTCACCAAGAAACACTGAACCAAATACAGATATTTACATTGTATCATATTACATTATGTTAATAGGCTGTTGTTCTTTTCTAACTTATCCCTACCTGAAAATTGGCTACAATGCCCATTCCAATACAGCCCACCAATCCAAGGACTAATGACACCAGGTTAAAAATCGGACTACTGAAATAAGAAGTTTGATTTTGCTTCTCCACAATTTTATATCTTGTGTACATAGTGGCTGCACCTGAAAAGGAAAAACATTTTTACTGTAAGATTCTTATAAGAGGTCACTTTTTTAAATAAAAAGATACTTGAACAATTTGATGACAAACATTTTTGTGAACTTTGAAATCAATTTTTAAAATATAGAGAAATATCTAAGGCTAGGTGGAAAAAGCAAATCTTCAGATTTCAGTACCTAATGGGTTTAAAATGATAATCAAAAAACAACTTTACTTACAAAGTATTTTTTTTCTCTCTCCTTAATTTCTGAGCAAGCATTCCCGCTTGCTTACTTAACCTGGTAGCATGGCAGGACCCAATTCAAAACCTTTCAAACCTAGTTTTGACAGGGTATAGGTCCTGGGAACCCCTCCCCCACAAATTTCTGTAGGTTTTCTCCTTTCCCCACGTGGTCAAGTCTGTGGCATTCACCAGAGGCAGATCTCCCCCACAGTAATCCTCTCAACTGGTCTTTCATTGTGGCTAGGCCCAATCTCCCAATTCTGACTCAACCAATCTTCATTGTCAGTTACCTTTCTATAGTCCCTGGCCACTTCCCACCCTTAATTCTATCTAGGTGGTCTAGGTCCCTGGCAACTCTGTTACCTCCAAGTCACCCTGATGGGGTCGGGATCTGGGTCCCAGAAAGGAAAAGCCCCGGACATTCCCAGTGGCCAAATCTCTGGCTTTTGCATGAGGCTATAATCCCATCAACTGGCCTTTCATTGTGGCTGCACCCAACCTCCCCCTCCATTGTCTTGCCTCCCTATGGCCCCAGGCCACTTCCCACCCTTGGTAACTCTATTACCTCTATTAACCTCTATTACTACTTGGCCTCTCCTAGATCCTTCCCATAGTCTTTCTGTATATAAGGTCCATCTTGTCTCCATTAAAATGCTTAAATTCTTAAAATCTAGCCACTGCTGAGATTCCTAAAATCTAGCCACAGCTTAGACTCTTGCAATCTAGCCAAGGCTGAGATTCTTATAATCTAGCAAATAATTTACTAATGTTCAGACTCCTTAAGAGTCTGCCCAATATGACGGATGCTCTAATAAACCTTGTCTTTGGCTGAAAGAAGGCTGGGGTCGAATTCTTTCGGGCAGGACCCACGTGTTGTGATTTGGGGTCCCAGCACCCTTGAACCCCTAAACCGCATCAACCCCAGATTACTTGGCCACTCCCAGAACCCTCCCACATTCTTTTTGTATATAAAATCCTTCTCGGCCTCCATTAAGGTGCTCAGATTCAATCTGGCCCGCTTGCATTAGCGATACAAATGCTTAGATTCCTTAAGAGTCTGGCCAATATGGCAGATTCTTAAAATCTTGTCTACCCCCTCTCAGTGTTCTAATAAACCTTGTCTTTGGCTGAAAGCAGGGTTGGCTTGAATTCATTTGGGCAGGATAATGTCATTATTTCGGGGTCCTAGCAACCCTAAACCTCAACAGTAGGACTCCAGTGTTTGTTCAGAATAAAATAATTTATCGAGCTCCTGAGGCCTGAGCCCAGATGAATGCATTCCTACCTGGGGAATGAAGGACAGAGAGGAGGGAGAAGTGGCAAAGGGTCTCCTTTTCATTGCTTTCCCTTTGCCTACCTCCCAAAGCACGGGACAAACATGCCCTCATAGATAGATGACATAATGGCTACCAGTCAGTCAGTCAGTAAGCACTTCTAAAACACCCACTATGTGCTGGGCACTGTGCTACATGCTGGGAATATAAAAAGAAGCCAAAGACAGTCACTGCCCTCAAGGAGCTCAAGTCAAATGAATAGGGAAGGCAATGAGCAAAGAACTACGTACAAGCAAGCTATATACCAGATAAACAGGAAATAATTAACAGAGAGAAACCTCTGGAATTAAGAGGAATTGGGAAAGTCTTCCTGGAGAGAATGAGATTTTAGCTGGGACTTGGAAGCCAGGGGACGGAGATGAGGAGAGTATCCCAGGCATGGGGGACAGCCAGAGAAAATGCCCAGAGTCAGGAGATGTGCGTGGGACAGCCAGGAGGCTGGCGTCACAGGATCGAAGAGCACATGTTGGGGAGTAGGGTGTAAGAAGATGAAAGAGGGGGCTAGGTTATGAAGGGCTTTGAACACCAAACAGAACATTCTGTACTTGATCCTGGAGGGTCTAGGGGGCCACTGGAGTTTTTTTAAGTGGGGAAATATGATCAGACTCGAGCTTTAGGAAAATCCCTTTAGTGGCCAAATGGAGGATGGACTGCAGTAGAGAGAGACTTGAGGCAGGCACCCCCTCCCCCCCAAGCAGGCTATTACAATAGTCCATCCCCCCCCCAAGAGGGCCAATGACATCACAGGGTGAAGGTTTTGACTTGCTAGTGAATTAAAGTAAGGCACAGCTGTGAGACTCAACAGCCTCAATTCTTTTTTCCAAAGTCCAATGACAAGACAAAAAAGTCAATGACTGGTGAAGGCCAGGAACGCTGTGGGCTTTCCACAGGCCTCGGTTGGTCAGTTAACCTATTCAAAGACTAAGGGCTAGGTGAGAACTGAGATACAGATGGCTTAATTTACCATCACAAAAATATCAGTCTGACAGAGGAAGACCCCCAAAGTTCCAGGCCAGAACAGAAAACAACAGCTGTTTACGATCATTCTAAGCTAACAAAATCTAAACAACGACAGCCATAGAGGCTGGGGGCTATTACTGGCCATTCAATGAAAGCCAGAGTGATTTGGATTTAAAAGCATAGTCAAGTACCTCCATTTAAAATACAATGGATTGGTCCAGAGACTCACAGTTCTCATTTAAAAGCATTATTATCACCATTTTTAAAGCCTGTTGGGGTGAGGTGAGTAGTACCCACACCTTGGTGGGCAGAGTCAGAGGAGAGAAGGGGGCAGATTCAGGAGATGTGAAAGTGGCTTAGATTGGGGGAGGAGGTGAAGTGAGGAGTCAGGGGTTTACCTCTACCAAAAAAGGTTGACGAAACGTAGATGTCCAGTGATGAGGCCTAGGCTTACAGATCCAGAGTTGGAAGGGACCTCAGAAGCCACCTAAGAGCCAAGCACCTCATTTTACCGATCAGATCTCAGAACTGGAAGGGATCTTGGTGGACATACAGTCCAATTCTCTCATCTCCCAATAAGAAATAGAGGTCCGATTATGGTGCAGTGACCTGCTCAAGGTCACTCAAGGTAGCTAAATGACAGAATAAGGATTTGAACTCAGGTCCTCTGACTCCAAGATTGGCCCTCTTTCCACTGTGCCATCATGCTGCCTCTATTCATTTCTGTTCTCTCTTTTATACATCTTTAAAAAACCATGGATCTAGATCTGGAAGAAACCTCAGACTAGCTCAACTCCACTATTTTACAAATAAGGAAACTGAGGGATCCTGGCCCTAGAAATGAAGGCCTCAGAGGCCAGCTAGCCTGTTTTAGACATAAAGAAACTGAGTCCCAGACACAGTAAGTGACTTGCCCAAAGCCACACAGCTGGTAAGTTTCAGAAACGGGATTTGAACCAGGTTCTTGGTTCTAGTCAGGTTTTTTTCCCACTGTAAAACATTGCCTCTAGGAACCCAGTCTTTATAAGTCCTCCTTACCAAAGACTGTTATATATAATAATTCCTGAGTGCTCCAACCTTAGAAGGGCCAAGCATGGGAAAGAAATATTTCCCTTCTTCAAGGAAGGCGTGCGGGAAAGAAGAAATGAGCCACAACCAGGCAACAGTTAACGGTAACCACTTTAGAACTGAAATGAATTGTCAACGCATAATTAATCTGGTTAATGGATGCACAAGTGAAGAGGAAGAAGGCCTGGTCAGCTACTTGGGATGTATGCTTTGAGAAGGACACAATGCAGTCTTCCCATCCAGTGACCACGTGTTATGTTCCTGTTTATCCAGCAGAGGGCAGGAATTGAGACCAACAACAAAGAGCTGGAAGAAGCGTTGAAATTCATTGGATCAGAAGCAGTGAAAGACATAGGTGTGCCCAGGTGAACAATGTGTAGATTGGCTTTGAGTTAATGATAGCAATAATTATTATTATTAATTGCATTTATATAGTGCTTTAAGACTTGCAAAGCACTTCACTAATATCATCTCATTTTATTCGCACAACAATCCTGGGAGCTAGGAGTTATTATTTTCCCTATTTTATTGATGAGGAAACTGAGGCTGAGAGAAGTTAAGGCATTTGCCCAGGGTTACACAGCTAGTAAGGGTCTGAGGCAGGATTCAAATTCAGGTCTTCCTGACTCCAAGTTTAATGCCTTACTTAACATGACTATTCCTATTTCTTACAAGGGATTTGTCTGTCTTTTTTCTCAATTGGGGAGAATTTGGAGAGAAGTCTAGTGAAAGAAAGAAAGAAAGAAAGAAAGAAAGAAAGAAAGAAAGAAAGAAAGAAAGAAAGAAAGA